AACCCCTGTATTTAGTACATTACCGACAATTCCTCCATCAATGCAATTGTTATGTCAAACGACTATACTTTTGGTTTTTTATGCCTTTCGTAATCATTATGTCAATTTGTCTTTCATTGTGTGACATTGTGACTGAAATTTACGGTAAAAAAAACAATCCACCTAAAGTTATTTTGATAACAGGAGCAAGGTAATAGATAATCTGTCTTCATTGAAATAATAAGTCGGCAGGGCTTAGGATCAGATTTGCCGAACACGGATAACCTTAGAAAACTCAAAACTTTGTTTACGTTAAGATTTGGGTTCACTTCAGAGTTTACGAACGGTAATTAACATAATTGGCGTATAAATCTGATTTTTTTTCCAAACGAGAATCCTGATTTTTTATTGGCTAATTTTGATTAGTAATATCACGTGTTCGGAGAAATCCAGTGTCGCAACATAATAATATTAATATTAATATTAATATTGACAGTTTAATTCAGCTCTGGGATTGGAGCCGCTATCGCGCTAGAGTATGCAAAGCCCGGTGTAATTTTGGGGCTTCTCGGACGCAACGAAGGTTCGTAACAAATCAATGTACAAATATTGGCATTAAGAATCGTGCAGATAATTTTTAAATTTATAATTATTTGAAACGCTAGAACGGTTAAATCAAATATCCCAACGATGTAGTGACAAAGGTGCAGAATGTGTGATGTTACAAATAGATATTTCAAATACGGAAGCTTTAACTAAAGAGTTGGAACATTTTGACGATGAGCATCCAATTGATCTAATGCAGGTAAGATTTTGACTAATTGCTTTCCAACTTTATTCAATATTTAATGTGCAGAATTTAAATTACCTTTTTATAGCTCAAGTTGGAGTTACTCGAGATAATAGCGACAATGTAGAATGGGAGGATGCATGGAAACGACTCATTGAAGTTAATTATATGGGCAATATTTGTACCGTAATGACAGCTTACAAAAGGATGAAACAACGAAATTTCGGTCAAATTGCAAGCAAGTTATTATGACCATACTTACGTACGACTTCTTCACTTTGAAAATATATAATTACATAATTTCTTTGTTCTTTCACTTTTTAGTTATGTCTTCAGCCGTTGGTTTCTTCGGCCCACCAAATATGTGTTGGTACAATTCTACCAAATCCGCACTGAATTCATTTGCACGAGACTTAAGATATATCGCTGAACCATATAATATTCGTGTATCTCTTATTACACCTGGTATAATTGCCTCGAAAATGACTGCAAACCCTGAACAACCTGTACCTTTCGCGGAATCTAGTCTTGCAAGTCCTAATGAGTTAGCGAAAGTTATTAAGGGACAATTAGAATCTAATATTTTCTGTATTGCTTGGCCGTTTTTTCAAGTGTTATTAGCTTGGATAGAATCAACCTTCCCACCTAGGGTTTTGTTAATGGTATCGTGGGCGTTCGGAAAAATTTTTCAAACACGTGCAAATAATTTGGCATTAACTTGAGTTTGAACTATAATATGTCAGGTATACGTAATCTTTCTTAAGTAGTGGTACAAGGGTCAAATATTAGTAATTGATAATTCACAAACTCATGATTATAATAATTATTTAAACAACGGTAACGGTAATACTGTACAGTAATATGATAAATCTCACCATATATCTAGAATTAAATAATACGTACGTACGTATGTGTAAAAAAAAAATACATTTATTTATTTACGTGACACGCATCAAAGTAATTTTTAGTCCCAGCTATCATAAATAAGAAAATAGTATTTGATTTTCGTTATTCATAGGTATAAGTATCTTTTTTTATATCTAAAGAAAACCTTATGGAAGATATCCCTAAACCAAATGTCGACCATCTTTATTCAAAATCCATCCGATTCGTATCAATTTAAAATCAATTTTAACAATATTCATTATTAATTTAAAAAAGGCGTAGAACTTTAGGTCTAAACCGGTAATTTAAGAATAACACTAACGCCAACCTTAAAACATGTGCACTAATATTGTGAAGATAGATGGTGACTTCGAATGTCCACGAGATCTGACATTTTGTTGATTACATGTTTATCCGGTTAAATTTAGTAATCATCACACTCATCAGTTTCCATAAAATCATTTAAACAAAGCATTTTTTTTTTCCTAGTAATAATTTGTTTATAAATTTTATAAAAACACTAATAACTAGAGAACTGTATATTTATAACTTAAAATCAACCATTATCTCTTTTTAATCCTTTTCGAAAAATAAAATGCGTCTTATCATCCGACAAGACTATGATCAGGTTTCTGATTATATGGGTAAGATATTCAAAATCATCGTTATTTAAAATTTTGTGATGCAAGGGTTAAAATTTTAAATATTTTTATAAAGCATCATACATCAAGGATCGCATCATAGAATTTAACCCAACCACCGACCGTCCCTTTGTTCTTGGACTACCGACTGGTTCCTCTCCCGTTGGTGTTTATAAAAATTTGGTCAAGTATCATCAAAATGGTCAACTAAGTTTCAAAAATGTTGTTACGTTTAACATGGATGAATATGTTGGCATACCAAGGTAATTCTTGTACGAAATTTGATCTTAACTTTTTTTTTTTTTTTAAAAAAAAAAAATTTTTTTATTCACATCTTAACTATATAAGAGATCATCCTGAAAGTTATCATTCGTTCATGTGGCATCATCTCTTTAAGCACATTGACATCCTTCCTCAGAATGTCCATATTCTTGATGGTAACGCTGATGATCTTGAAGAAGAATGCAAGAAATACGAAGAACAAATTAAATCTTTTGGCGGTATTGAATTGTTTTTGGGAGGTAAGACTCGTATATTATTCGCTTAGAAAATTAAGCATTCGAATAGCTGATTCAAAATATTCATTAACGTAACGCAGGAATCGGTCCCGATGGTCATATTGCCTTTAATGAACCTGGATCTTCGTTGACTTCAAGAACTCGTGTTAAAACTTTGGCCTATGAAACTATCTTGGCAAACTCTAGATTTTTTGACGGTGATATTAGTAAAGTTCCAAGAATGGCTTTAACCGTTGGTGTAGGGTGAGTTTTATTTCAAATTTAATGATAATGATTGGTTCACGTGCTAAAATTGTCACGTGATCAGTACCGTGATGGACTCTCGTGAAGTTGCTATCATCATCACAGGGGCTCACAAAGCTATCGCTTTAGCGAAATGTATCGAAGAAGGTAAACAATTTAGAAATTTATAATTTGATCAATTCTTTAAATTTTATAATTTAATATTTATTTTGATATAGGTGTTAATCATATGGTAGTTAAATTCTTATTTTATATGCCAGCGCTTAAATGTGAAAATTTAAATTGCTTTTATTACATACAGTGGACCGTCTCAGCGATTCAACTACATCCTAAGGCCCTTATTGCTTGTGATGAAGACGCTACTCTTGAACTGCACGTTAAAACTGTTAAATATTTCAAGAGCCTTGATCACGTAATTAATAACCTTATTGGCCCTGAAAACGTTGGATTACAGGGTAATGCACTTTAATCAATCTTGTTAATAACTATACTCTCGTCTTTAAATATACTGCGGAATTAATGTGATTAAAATTTTGAATAAATTTAATTACAACTATACTGATGTATCTTATTAAAGGCAACATCAAGAAATATCCTACACCTGAGGTTACACCAACTAGAGAAGATTTTTATAATTGTCCTTTTCAGAAGTAATTAACATAACCATTTGATGGGATTTTAAAGTCAATCACGGATAATATTTTATCTATTTGTATGAGTTTATAATATAATGGTTTTTCTAACCATTTGAATTTTATAACTGAATGAAATAAAGTCCCTTTCTTACTTTACAATTTTGTAATTTTCATAAATAATTTCACTTATTTTAATTATATAACTTATATGGATATAACATTTTTTTGACTTTATAATTTTCTTACAAAATTATAAATTTATTTATATTTTTGAGTATGATAAAGTTTTAATAATAATCACTGATTTTAATTTTCAAGGTAGATTTTAAGATAAAAAAAGCTTTTATATAACAAGAAAGTTTACATTTGACATTATTTTTTTTTAGGAAAAAATCATATAATCATTATTTACAATTGAGCATGTTTCGGACCGTCAATAATCTAAGTATTAAATATTTTAAAGTACCGAGGATTTTAAAAGTAGCAAATCCAGCAATAGACCAAAGAATAACTGCTATATAAATATTTATTAAATCGTTACCAAAAATTATGATAACGACTACCAATGCAGCATTGCTAAATAACCAGAAAAGCAGAATCATTGTCGATCGAGAGTCTCTCTGAAAGTTTTCGTGTTTATCTTGTGTTATAGACCTTTCTCTAAAGGATGGTTGTCTTATTGCTCGGATTGCATCTCTGTATGTAGAGTCTACATCATGAGAAGTTCCCATAATACCAGTTTTTTCTAATTTTTCTTCTTCATCTTTAGTCTCTCGTCTTATCGACCTGTAGATTATATAGTGAACTGATTAGTATTATAATATAAACAAAACTATATAACCTTAATTTACATTACCTAGCCTGATGAAGATTACAAAAAGAATAAATATTCAAGATAATAACATAAAATGGTATTAAGAATATATATTGTAAAATGCAAGTAAACATATGCCATGGATCAAACATTATAAAACTCGCAATCAAGTGCAAAACATATGTTAAAACCAAAGAAAAGGTGATGTCTCTAAAAATATGATCGTCAAGTAAAGAAATTATCATATTATTTGAATTTAATAAATTCATAATCTCATTGATTGAGAGCCAAAAAACAGAAAGTAACATATAGACCATAATCAAGCCAAATAATATCATCGAAACGCGAATATATAGGGAACTATTAAACAATAATTAAATCAAAAATGTATGTTTTTTAATGAGATGTAAAAACTAAAAAAAAATAATAAAATAATCCCAATTTACCTTCGAGATCTATACATTAAGGCCAATATGAATTGCACGATCATTAGTCCAGGAAATGCATATTGTAAGACCATGAATATTTTTATTCCGACATAGTGACTCCAGGGAGCAGGGATTGCTATTACTTGAGAATTAGAGAAGATACTACCCAAGATATAGAATATCAAATAAAAATTTCCCTAGAAAATAATGGGATATCAAATAATGTAATAAATAATATTGTCAATAAAAATATAATGAGAATAGCAAATAATTCATATTTACCAGGGAAAACCATGAGAATACAAATTTGCATGCTTGGAATACCATTTCGATAAGCAAAAAAAGCTTACGAACAAAAGAATGATCACTTCTCCAAATATAATAAAAATGTGTAATAACATAAAAACTAGCAAAAAGTGATCCACTTAACCAACGTATTCGCTGATTAATTAGCCCACAAACTTCTTCAGGTACATAAGTTTCAGCTCTTGAGGATTTAACATAATGTAATAACCAAGAATATCCACGTCTTGTAACCAATTCAAAAGGAAAAATACGACCTCCAGCATGATACATTTTAGCAACATTGATTTCACCTTTAAAATAAGATGTTAGAGGACCTTCGTCCTCATTAATAATACTCTGTAGAGCAATGTACCGGTATGCAGAAAAGGCCTCAGGTAAAGTAGTAATATACCCGAATACTGATTCAAATGGCTTATCCAGAATGTTAATCATTTTATATTCAAAGTTTTGAGCAGCCACGATTGGATTCAATAGTTTAACACGACCTTTACCTTTCTTGACAACAATTTCGCCACAAGCTCCTGCAACACTTGGGTCTACATCAAATGCTTTCCATAGATTATAGATGGATTTAGGACCTTTAAAAAATAAAAATAACAATTATAGTGGGATAACTTAGATTATTTAATTTGCAAATGATTTATCAAGGCCAATTTTCGTAGGGAAAACAACACCCTTAAACAGGTGATCATAATAGCCTATTAGATAAAAAAAAAAAAACTTTCTAACCTGGTTCAGTGCCAACATCAATAAGAACACATATTGGGTTGAAGAACTGAGCCAAAGGCATTAAAAAACCATTGATAAGAATTGATTTTGTTAGCTTCCTTCTCTTTAAGACAAAGGAGTACTTGGATTGGAACAACTTCAGAGTCTTCTGTTTTAATGTTCATAGAATGATCGATTGAAATCTGAGTTGTATACTCAAATATATGTGCATTAACAGCGTCATCCTTCACTTTTTCTACTGTAACACCATCTTGATAGACACCAAGAGCTGCTAAATAAGCTAAAGAACTCTTCTCGATATTCTCACGACCATCAACAACTATGCATACAACAACTTTCTTCCATCCACCCTCACCCTTAAAAATTTTCAAGAATATATTAATTAAAATTTATAAATACATTATTTAACCGTAGTAATATAGAATCGCACATATACCCAAATTTTAGATCTTTTACGAGTACAGAGGTGAGCAATATTTTTCACAACTCCGTGGAAAGTACGGGATAACAGATCTTTATCTTCCTATTACCAGATATTTACAGTATATATATTATCTTTATAAATTTCACATTTCCGCATTTAAAAATAATATTACTAATTTCCTTACATTATGCATAGCTAACATAATAAACAATTCTATTGGTCTCGGAGGACTTGTTTCTACTTGACGAAGGGTAAATCCTTTTTTCGCAAAGTTGTCAGGTTCACTTGTACAGGCGGTATATCTCACATGTGTAAATTCTTTTGAATCCTTCCTAAGAATGTTTCCAAGTAAATCTGTAGGTATAGGTAACTCTAATACTAAATGTTTTACATCCTTTAAATTAACATGATGTTTAAGATGCTCAGGTTCTACATTAAGAGATGTGGAACTATTATCATAATCATTATGACTTTGTTCTTCAGTGCTCTGTGCATAATTATACTGTATAGAAGGATAGGGATTATTCCCTTCCGGAATATATACGTTCATATTCTCCATAAGGGTTAAATATCTATATAGACGTATATAAACCGAGGCTTTACTTTAGGAAAACTCAATATTTTTAAGTAATTTATCTGTTGTTTTCACAACAATCTACTAAGAGAATATTTGTAACAGTAATAAACATGAATTTGAACAAAACAATCTTTTTATTTATTTATTTATTTTATTTTATTTTTTAATAGATCCGCTTGTTTTGTGCAACTTTTAATATGTAAGAGCGAATTCCAAGATAATATTTTAAAGATGCTATCGGATATTCGTCAGCAATGAATACCTGGATGTTCATCCATATACAAAAATCAAACGGTCATATTTATTCTGACGTCATATAAATCATTAGCTTTAAAAAAACACTACGTATTAACTGCATACTAACAAATTAGTAAATACGCCTATCGATATCTTGAATTACGTTTCAGGCAGATTGTTTTTTTAAACAATTTCTTCCTTTTTGTAAATGTTAACGTTTCACGATACCAAACTGAGATTGATTTATAAGATAAGACTAACTTATTCTTGGATAGCAATTAACGTTAATCGCCAGTCTGAATTTAGACAACTTTATTCGTTTCAAGTTATTTACTTACAAAGTACTGAAGTAGGCAAAGATCATCCGATATACTAATTAAAATCATATGAGATGCAATAATACGTAGTAATAACACTCATGAGTATCGTCGCAAACAAAATTATCCTATAGTATTGTAGTTGCGGAAAGTTTTTTTATCCCAAAGTTCGTAGTACCATTACATATATTAGCATAAACTGGTTCAGATCTGATTATGATCTGCCGATCTGATTAAAAATTGTAATAATAATAATTAATAAAGTCCCTGTACATTTCGTTTTATGCAATAATAAAAATTAACTAATAAAACCCCTGTACATTTCGTTTTATGCAATAACTAGCACCTGGAAAATGTGTACCGGGTTGGGTTCGGATGATGGTCCGGCAAATGTTTTCGAATTTTTACTCTTTTTTTTATTTTTCAATTATAGCGATAATACTGTATAAAATAATATTTAATGCACATAGAATAATACAAATAAACTTGAATTTCAACATTATAATAGTTTTTTTTTTTTAACCATTTTGTTGTTTTCTGTGATGTTCTTTGATAAATTATGTACTCTTTGCAATTAATTATGCCCTTCACTTCAAACTGATCGATATTTTCTTTCTGAATATTTGTTGACTGTATGAAATTTGATAAAATAGATAGGACGCTAACTTGTCTATCGATAGAGATTCGGATTTTCGCATCCTTTTTTAAATATTCAATGTAGACAAGAAGTTGGCTATCATTGTTAACGTTATTAATGATAAGTTGAAAACTTTTCAGTATATATAATATGCATATTAGATCTTCGTTGCTACATAGTTATTAAATAAATTATGAATGTTATTAATTGAAATTTAAAATACCAATCTAATTTAATATCACTTTTAGACGACCGAAAATTGCTTATTTTCACATTGATTATTATAGTTTCAACTTGCGACCTATAAGCGACGAAAATATTTGACGAAGTGACGTAGGTAGATTTGGTTATTATAGCTTCATCTTGTGACTCATAAGCAACGTAAGTATTTGGCGAAATGACATAGGTAGATTTGATATATTCTATTATTTTGTTTAACTAAGTCCTATGATGGTTTCTTGCTTGTAATTAACCAATATAAAATACAGTACATGTTATAACAAATTTTGCATCGCTTTTTTTTGCAAAAAAAAATACAAATGAAAAACTAATGATAAACTAATGACAGCAAGTAATTTATTTTTATTGGCTAGATGACGTACGTTGAAAAAGTGAGACTTAGTTCGGACTTGGGAAAACTGTGCAATCCGGATATGAACTAACACTAATACTATCTAAAACAACACTCTAAACTACTAATCTCTATCCGAACCCTAATGTTGGTAGGCAGAAA